CCTAGACCCTCCCAGAGCACTCCACCCCCAACCTCCTCAGATTCCCTTGGCAGGAAGACTCTCCCCGCCTCACTTCTACCTGCCCAGACATGAAGCCAGGAGCTGCCACCTCTGGTGCCGGACCCCCCAGGGGCTGTGGTAGAGAACTTCAAGAGCAGGACCTTTGTCCTCCCTGCCTTGCTGACTGGGTACTCTCTTCTCCTCTCCCCTCCTATCCACAGCAGTAGGTTTACTGCCAACATCCCACCTTCTCTGTCATTTTTTCCCCCTCCTTCATTTCCTTCCTCAGGCTTGGGCTGTATCCCTGGGTTCAGTCTTTGTGGATGAGAGCACTTTTTATTCCTCATTCTTAGCTTAAATCTCTTTTTCGGTTGGTTGGTTCTCCCTTTCCATCTCTCTCTCTGCATTATTATATGTGGGAATGAGTGAATGAGGACCCTCTCTTCTCTCCTCATCTACCTCTTACCTCCTGCCCCATCTTGGTAGCACTGAGTGACTTCCGCCACATACAGCGTGCCCAGGTCTCCCAGCCCGGGCCTCAGCTGTACGCCTGGGTACTCCTCACTCATCATCCCACCGGGGCAGCTCTGGGTTCCCAGATTTTCTCCCTTATAAAGTCAGACAGCAGCAGACACCCAGGAATGCTACTGTTGCCCATGACGCATGCTGGCTGCGGGCCCGCCTGACTGCCCCCAGGCAAACAGGAATGCAGCAGGACCTGAGCAAATGGTTAGATTGCCAGGGAGTGGGGTGGGGTGCCTAAGTGAATGGGCATCAGGCAGGTGGCAGGGCCTGGGATGGCAGCCCTCCTTCTGCTTGTCCACTTGCTTCTCCTCGGGAACTTCAGTGTACTTGTCTGCAGAGCGAAAGCTGAGCTCCCGACTGCAGGCATGGGCTGTACGGAACTTTTGAAATTGTGGACTTAGCACCCAAGGAGTGGGAGACCAAGAGCTGAGGAGGCAAGAGGTCCCAGGCCTGTGGTGCTCCTAAGAATAGCCAGGAAGGGGCAGGGATACCCATGGAGGACCAAGACAGAGATAGGAAGCAAAGGGGACATGAGGGAAGCACAGTCCAAATGGTCAGCCCCCCAGATTGGACAAGTACCTGTGCTTGAGACCTACCTCTGGCCTTTGAAGGGTGAGGGGACCAATGGGCAAAGGTGCTCCAAGCATGAGGACCCCTTTTCCCAAGAACCTGCTAACAGGCAGAGGTTCGGACATTACAGTGGAGTAAGCCACATGCTTGGGGCCTCCGGGGGCAAGGCCAGGACCCCATGGACACACTCTAGGAATGTCCCCTAAGAAGCCGGAAGCTGGCAGGCGTCTTGCTGAGGGTCATTGACTTAGGCTTCACCCCGTCTGAGCCCATCTCCCCATTGAAAAATGGTGTTGACAGGGAAGGGAGGACACAAGCTTTTCCTGTGCCCCCAACCCTAGGTCTCAGGAAAAGGATGGAGTTGCCCCACCCTGGGACCCAGACAGCAGTGCCCTGTTCAAGGGGAGAAAGGGTAGGAAGCTGGGAGACGTCTCCACCTTCAGCAAACCTCTTATATGGGAGCCAGGAACCCTCCAAGAACACACAGCCCTTTCATGGAGCCAGGCCCCACCAAGTAACGGCAGGCGGGCACTGAGGGGCAGGATGGGCCTGGGCACAATTACTGCTCTGTCCTGGCAGCTCCCAGCCCACACGCGCGCGCACACAAACACACAGCCTTACGCAAACCCAAAACGCACACCCACCAGCCACCCACACACTTGCACACACATGCAAATACACATGTTCACAGCCCTATCCACTGTGTACCCAGGCATGCTGGCACTCTTTCTGACCCCACCCCAGGGCCCTTGGGGCATCTTGCACCAACCATTCCAAAGGGCTTCCTGCTACCCAGGCAGTCCACACCATTTAGCCTCTGCACAGCCATATTTAAAAGCAGATGCCTTTCCTGGAAGAGATCTCCAGGACTAATTCGTATAGACAGGAGAAGAAAGAGGTATGTATAATGAACCCATTATACAGAATGGTAACACTGAGGCCCAAACTAGGCCCCTTCTCCTGTCCTGGTGGTGTGATGAACCATGGGTCTTTCTAACCCTGGAGAGTCAGGAACGGGTCTCCATCCTGCACTGTTCCTCACTCCCCGAGTCCCCCCAAAACCAGACCACTAAGCTGTGGGTTAATACAGTGGACAGCAAGGTCAGTTTGAACCACAAGGTCAGCAGTTCAAACTCACCATCCGCTCCTCAGAAACCCTACACAGGGTCACTATGAGTCAGTACCGACTTGATGGCACTTAACAACAACAACAAAGCCTAGCTTGGCTCATGCTACTTTCCCCTCTACTCCTCTGCCTTCAAGTTGTCCTGAGCCTTCGGTGGGCGAGGGGGCAGAAGTCCTCCCCTGCCCACTCAAGGGAGTCCTCCCTGTGCCCCCTGCCAATTTCTCACTCAGCCTCACTGCCCTCTTCTGAGACTTTCCATTCTCCGCCCTCTCTGCCCCTCTGCCCCACCGTCACCTCTCCCAGGAAGCCCTCTGGGATTGACTTCTGGTTCATAGCTTCTCTGTCCTGTGCCCTCTCTATAGTCACCACTCTCAGGAGAGGATTCTGGATTCTTGCAACTGCAGTCTGAGGAGCCAGAAAGAGAGGCAAAAGGAGGAGTCCAGGAGGTTGGGGGGAGAGTGGGGGGATTGGCCATGTCAGAGTTTCCGAAGCCCAGTCCAGGGAGGCATCAGAGCCGTCTTTTGGGATCAAGGGGCTGCCTGGCCTGCATGCTCACAGCAGCACAAGGCAGCCTGTGTGAGCCCTTTCCCGCCCAGCCCCACAGGAAACAGCAGGGCCCAGCCCCTCAATGGGCCCATTCAGACCCCAGCTCTCTGGAAAGTCACTCTGCTTCCTGCCAGCCTCCTACCTTGGCCTGGAGAACTAGGCTCAAAAGTCTGCCGCTCTCCAATCAGGGATTTGGGTGGCCATGAACTTCAGAGCCCTGAACTTGGCCATGCTTCGAGGGTTTCTATACAGTTTAGTGGAGGGGAGTGTGCCTGGGTAGGTGGGTTCACTCCAGCAGTGGGAAGGGGAGCCTGGTATATAGTGTTGGTCTCTTTCTGTGGTATAAATAGTCTACCTTGGGCAATATCACCTGATTCACAGAGTTCCTGAAGATTTAACAATCAGCCAGCTGCTGTGAGTCTGCTTCAACCCCCCACTGTGTGTGTGCTGGGGGTGGGGCTGTTCCATCTTGCAGGGGCCACGTGTCCCTAGTCTCTGTACTGTGGCTGACCACACTTAGTGTGCTGTGGTTTCGTCTTAAGAATCAATGTCCTGCAGATAAGACTCTCCTGTAGGTGCCTGCCACCCGCCAGTTCCTTGCTCTGTTCCTCCTTGGCACCGAGAGAGTTTTGCAGTTCAAATTTGATTTCCAGACAGGGTTAGCTTTCCAGGCAGGGTTCTGGTGTTGCCAGCAGGTGTTGGTGAGAGATAACTAGAGGGGATTTGAGCTCAGCCCCAGGAAGACGATTATCAGCCTTGGCCATCCCTCCCAGTGGTTGTTTCTGCCCTTTAGAAAGAAACACAAGCCGCTGTTGCTGCTTCCTTGGGCGGCTGTCAGCTGGCTCAGGCTGGCCAGGGACCAGAGCATGTGTGGCTGGGACCAGAGCATCCCTATCAAAGCCATCAGTCTTTGCTTACTCACATGAGGCTCAGGGAGAGCCCCACAAAGATGAGTCACCTTCTTAACCCTTTTCTGTCTGCCTCCAGCCCTGGATGTCTAGGGGACAGAGTCAAAATTACCTTTGGCCAAAGAGTCCCCGGTGGTACATATAGCTAAGTGCTTGACAACTAGCCTAAAGGTTGGCAATTCAAAGCCACCCAGAGGCACCTCGGAAGACAGACCAGGCAATCTGCTTCCAAAAGGTCTCAGCCTTGAAAACAGGTATGGACCAGTTCTACTCAAGACACACAGGGCCAGCGTAACTCAGTGTCCACTTGAAGACAAATCACAACAACAGCCTTTGCAAAAGAAATAAACCAGAAAGTGTGGCCGCAAGCTGGAGGTTGAGGAAGGCTAGTGTCAGGAAACTGCCTAAGGTAGCAATGTGTAAAAGGAGTCCAAAGGGGACCTTATATAGAGGCCACTGACCCTGTGCAAACCCAAATGTTGCCTGCTGCCCTGGGAGGCCCTCTTTGTTCTGCCGAGTACACACTGCCCCACCACCACCACCACCACCACCCCTTTCAGCCCCTGGTTTGGCCTGGAAGAAGCAGGAACTCAGCTGTTCTCATCCTGGGCTTCTTCTCCTCAGTGGAAACAATGGGACCAGATCTGACCATTCACCCGGAACCACTAAGAACTCTACAGCAGGAAGCAATATGGGGGGCGGGGGGGACCATTTGGGGTCTAGCACTGCTCATGGTCTCCATTCTTTGCTTCTTAGAGGACTTAGGCCAACCAGTTGCCACCACACACACACATACCACCTGCCCAAGGGTAGCTAGGAATCTGGCTTGAGAGAGGAGCATGGATGCATTGGTTGCCATCTCAGCATGACCACTGGGCACTAGCCATGACCTCAGACAGCCCATGGAGGTGGGTATACCACAGCACGTGCTATTCAGGAGCCCTCACATAAGGACAGTTAGAAGGAATTTGAGTGGGATCCGTTTAGGATAGGAATGATTCTGCTTTGAGATGTGACCCCAGGCCAAGTGATCAGACCAGTGAGGTTTCCCTTTGAGCCAAGGTGGGGCCAGACCCAGGACAGAGACTCCACTGAGCCCCAGGAGAAGAGCCCATCTGGCTGAAGCATCTGGCTCCAGGAACTTCCAAGAAAGAGGCCTAAATTGCTAGGAATTGCTGGGTTCTGGCCTCTTTCAGAGAGCCAAGATTTGGTCCAGACACAAGGTATCAGGACCAAGGAAGAGCTGGGATCTGCCTGATGTCAATAGAATAGAACCACGTATGAGAACCAGGAAGCTGTACCAGCATGGAGCCCCCTCCTTGCAGCCCACTCACCCACCTCTGAAGCATCAGCTTCTTCCAGGCAAGAGTCAGAGCCATGACCACAGCTTCCTCTTGCACACAGCTTCCTTCTTCGGTGAGAACCACCTAGAGGTACCTGTGGCCATGGCCTTGACCGACATCCACCTACAGCTGCAGTTCTCCACACCCCAGCCCGAAGCCCTCCTACTCCTGGCAGCAGGTCCAGCTGACCACCTCCTGCTGCAGCTCCATGACGGACACCTGCAGGTCAGTGACATCCCGGGGACCCAGGGACACCTTCTCGAACTTTCAGTGGGAGTTACTTTCACCTTCCACTTTGACCTGCAGGAGAGAGTCTCAAAGTTCTCTCCTGCAAAAAGGCTAATACCCACATCCCTGAAAGTGACTTTCTGTGAAGTGAATTGGCTGTGCCCTCCTGCTCTCTCCATGCTCAGGGTTCACCACAACCATGGCAGATTGTGCTCTGACCACAATGAAGTACTTTCAGTTCCTGCCGCCTGGTACATCCCTCACCCGGCCTCTCCCCTCACCTGCTGAACTCCAGCCTCTCCTTGAAGTCAGCCTGGACGGGTTGTCCCCTGATGCTCCTCTGGGCTTGATTCCCTGTCCTGGGCTCCCAGCAGCCCGTCTGCATATCACCCTGTATTCCCATGATCCATTGATGATGGTCACTGTATCCAGACTGCTCTCTTAAATTTCCTAATTCCCCATTTCATTGTTCAGGTTGTCCCCTGGTACTCCTCTGGGCTTGATTCCCTCTCCTGGGCTCCCAGCAGCCCCTCTGCACATCACCCTGTATTCCCATGATCCATTGATGATAGTCACTGCATTCACACTGCTCTCTTAAATTTCCTAATTCCCCATTTCATTGTTCAAGTCACCATAAGCTTTATTGGCCAGGCATTTTCTGGCTCCCTCTTGAGCCTTCCTCCTGACCATGAAGAGTTTTGAGAATTCTAGTGGTTTTGAGAAGTCTGTTGATAGCAGTGGTTGTTGGTGTTGAGTAGATTCCAACTCAGGGCAAACCTGTTGTGCAGAATAGGGTTGGGACCTTTCAAACTGATCTCCAGGTATGTCTTCCTGGGTGTTTCTTCTGGGTGGGTTTGAAAATCTAACCTTCCGATTAGAAGGATTAGTAATCCAGTGCCACCTAGGGACTCCTCTGGGTCTTCTCATTGTTGTTGTTAAGTGTCTTCGAGTGGGTTGCGACCCTGTATAACTGGTGAGCTGGAACCACCAACCTGCGGTTCAAACCAACTTTTCAGTTCAAGGCATTAACCCACAATGCCACACCAGGACTCTGGGTCTTACCCAGTCCAAATTTGAGGATCCATCTGCTTCCACACCCCATTGTAATTCCCTGATCAATCTGCTGCTACTGCTATTGCTTCTCATTGCCACAAGGTGTCACTGTTGAAGACTGGCAGGTACAGTCTTTTGCTGAAGCTGTTGTTCTCTGTCAGGTACAATGATGCCACCTTAAGTACCTCTGTTCCTTACTGGGATTCCCAAGGTCATCATTCCCAGTGTTCTGCTCTCTCGGCTCCCATTTTTTGCCATCCTCCAGGCTTCTGTCTGGTTGTGGGAGTGCCATGCCAGAGCTAGTTCTGGTATCATTATCATGGACCCAGAACCATGTCCTCTTCCCTCCTCCTACCCCAGAGCAGGAGCTTTTCTCTCCTAAACCTTCGAAGCACTGTGTATCTGATTGAACTCCCTGTTCCTGAAGAGTGGGCCTCGCTGCCCTTGGTGACCAACTTGGGAACTCACCAGCGGAGTCCCAGGTGCCCACTATTCCAGAAGGGGAATCTTTCTGAATTCCAAGTGATTTTCTGGTACCTCTTACCCAAAGAAAGAAGAAACGAGTAAAAAACATGAGTTGGATTTCTACAAGGGTAACTTGCTATATATCAGTTCCATGTGGGCAGGGACCATATCTGATTCTTACTGGGGTTCCCATCACCCAGCCAGGCCTGGCATAGATGGGCTTTGGGGCATGGGTATCAAGTAAAGGGTTAGCAGAAGGGAGAAAGGGGTGCCATGAGGAGCCCTTACCCTAAGTCCTCTGCTCTGGGGACCCCAAGTGTGTGGTGCTCTCTGTGCTTTTATGGAGAAGTGATAGACTGAAGGTGCTCTCCTCTTCCCTCACTGTCTCTCTCTCTCTCTCCCTAGGTCAGACTTGTCCTGGGCCATGAGGAGCTCAGGCTGCAGACCCCAGCAGAGATGCTGCTAAGTGACTCCATCCCTCACACCGTGGTGCTAACTGTGGTGGACAAATTGGCCACGTTGTCAGTCGATGGGCAGCTGAACATCTCAGCCCTAGCCCCGGGAACCTCCCTGGAAGTCCCCTATGGGCTCTTCCTGGGAGGCACTGGGAGTCTTAGCCTGCCCTACCTAAAGGGAACCAGCCGCCCTCTCAGGGGTTGTTTCCATACAGCCACCCTCAATGGTCGAAGCCTCCTCCGGCCATTGACCCCAGACGTACATGAGGGCTGTGCTGAAGAGTTTTCCGTTGGTGATGATGTGGCCCTGGGCTTCTTGGGGCCCCACTCTCTGGCTACCTTCCCTGCCTGGGGCACACGGGACGAAGGCACCCTGGAGTTTACACTCACCACACAAAGCCAGCAGGCACCCCTGGCCTTCCAGGCAGGTGGCCGGCGTGGGGACTTCATCTACGTCGACATATTTAAGGGCCACCTGCGGGCCATGGTGGAGAAGGGCCAAGGTACCGTATTGCTCCACAACAGTGTGCCTGTGGCCGATGGGCAGCCCCATGAGGTCAGTATCCATATAGATGTTCACCAGCTGGAAATCTCCGTTGACCAGTACCCCACACGGACTTCCAATCGAGGGATTCTCAGCTACCTAGAGCCACATGGCAGTCTCCTCCTCGGGGGCCTGGATGTGGAGGCCTCTCGCCTCCTCCAGGAACACCGCCTGGGTCTGGCCCCTAGCACTGTCAATGCCTCCCTGCTGGGCTGCATGGAGGATCTTAGCGTCAATGGCCAGAGGTGGGGGCTCCGGGACGCCTTGCTGACTCGCAACATGGCAGCCGGCTGTAGGATGGAGGAGGAGGAATATGAGGAAGATACCTATGGCCCATATGAAGCCTTTTCCACCCTGGCACCTGAGTCTTGGCCCACCATTCTGCTGCCTGAGCCCTGCATGCCTGAGCCTGGGCTGCCTGCTATCTTTGCCAATTTCACCCAACTGCTGACCATCAGCCCGCTGGTGGTGGCCGAGGGTGGCACAGCCTGGCTTGAGTGGCGGCATGTACAGCCCAGCCTGGACCTGAGCGAGGCAGAGCTGCGCAAATCCCAGGTGCTGTTCAGCGTAAGCCGAGGGGCGCGCCACGGCGAGCTAGAACTGGACATACCGGGCGCCCAGGCACGAAAAATGTTCACCCTACTAGATGTGGTGAACCGCAAGGCCCGCTTCATCCACGATGGCTCTGAGGACACCTCTGACCAGCTGGTGCTAGAGGTGTCTGTGACGACTCGGGCAATGGTGCCCTCCTGCCTGCGGAGGGGCCAGACCTACATCCTGCCCATTCAGGTCAACCCAGTCAACGACCCACCCCGCATTGTTTTCCCACACGGCAGCCTCATGATGATCTTGGAGAACACACAGAAGCCGCTGGGGCCTGAGGTTTTCCAGGCTTATGACCCAGACTCAGCCTGTGAGGGTCTCACCTTCCAGCTTCTCGGTAACCCCACAGGCCTCCCTGTGGAGCGCAGAGACCAGCCTGGACAGCCAGCAGCCGAATTCTCCTGCCTGGAACTGGAGACGGGCAACCTCGTCTACATCCACCGCGGCGGCCCTGCACAGGACCTGACGTTCCGGGTCAGTGACGGGCTGCAAGCCAGCCCCCCAGCCACCCTGAAGGTCGTGGCTGTCCGGCCAGCCATCCAGATCCGCCACAACACAGGACTCCACCTGGCACAGGGCTCTGCTGCACCCATCTTGCCTGCCAACCTGTCGGTGGAGACCAATGCGGTAGGGCAGGCTGTCAGTGTACTATTCCGGGTCACTGGAGCCCTGCAGTTTGGCGAGCTGCAGAAGCAGGGGGCAGGAGGTGCAGAGGGGACAGAGTGGCGGGCCGTGCAGGCCTTCCACCAGCGGGACATAGAGCAGGGCCGCGTGAGGTACCTGAGCACTGACCCGAAGCACCGCACTGAGGACGCCATGGAGAACCTGGGCCTAGAGGTGCAGGTGGGCCAGGAGACCCTGAGTAACTTCTCCTTTGCAGTGACCATCCAGAGAGCCACAGTGTGGCTGTTGCGGCTTGAACCTCTGGATGCTCTGAACACCCGGCAGGAGACCCTCACCACCGCCCACCTGGAGGCCACCCTGGAAGGGGCAGGCCCAAGCCCCACCTCCTTCCACTACGAGGTGGTTCAGGCCCCCAGGAAGGGGAATCTTCGGCTAAAAGGCACGAGGCTGTCAGACGGGCAAGGCTTCACCCAGGATGACCTGCAGGCAGGGTGGGTGACCTATGGGGCCACAACACGCGCCTCGGAGGCAGTTGAGGACACCTTCCGCTTCCGAGTCACAGCTCCACCACACTTTTCTCCCCTCTACACCTTCTCCATCCACATCGGCGGTGACCCCAATGCTCCTGTCCTCACCAACGTCCTCCTCTCTGTGCCCGAAGGTGGCGAGGGCATCATCTCTGCTGACCACCTCTTTGTCAAGAGCCTCAACAGTGCCAGCTACCTCTATGAAGTCATGGAGCGACCTCGCCATGGGCAGTTGGCATGGCGGGACACACAAGACAAGGGCACCGTGGTGATGTCTTTCACCAATGAAGACCTGCTCCGTGGCCGACTAGTCTACCGGCATGACAACTCTGAGACCACTGAAGATGACATCCCATTTGTGGCTACCCGACAGGGCGAGGGCAGTGGTGGCACGGCCTCGGAGGAGGTCCGAGGTGTCTTCCGTGTGGCCATCCAGCCCGTGAATGATCACGCCCCTGTGCAGACCATCAGTCACGTCTTCCATGTGGCCCGGGGTGGGCAGCGGCTGTTGACTACAGATGATGTGGCCTTCAGTGACTCGGACTCAGGCTTTGCTGACGACCAGCTTGTGCTGACCCGGAAGGACCTCCTCTTCGGCAGTATTGTGGCTGTAGATGAGCCCACACGACCCATCTACCGCTTCACCCAGGAGGACCTCAGGAAGAGGCGAGTCCTGTTCGTGCATTCGGGGGCCGACCGTGGCTGGATCCAGCTGCAGGTGTCCGACGGGCAGCACCAAGCCACCGCTCTGCTCGAGGTGCAGGCTTCCGAGCCCTACCTCCGCGTAGCCAATGGCTCTAACCTAGTGGTCCCTCAGGGGGGCCAGGGCACCATCGACACAGCTGTGCTCCACCTGGATACCAACCTAGACATCCGCAGCGAGGATGAGATCCGCTACCACGTCACATCTGGCCCACGCTGGGGACAACTGCTCCGAGCCGGCCAGCCAGTCACGGTCTTCTCCCAGCAGGACCTGCTGAGCGGGGTCATCCTCTATAGTCACAATGGCAGCCTCAGTGCCCGTGACACCCTAGCCTTCTCTGTGGAGGCAGGATCTGTGCAAACAGATGCCACCCTACAAGTGACCATTGCCCTAGAGGGGCCAGTGCCCCCACTGCACTTGGTCCAACACAAGAAGATCTATGTGTTCCAGGGAGAAGCAGCAGAGATCAGAAGGGAACAGCTGGAGGTAAGAGGCTAGGGTTGGTCAGCAAGGATATAGGCCAGGTGGAGGGAACTTTCTATCCCTGGCCATGTGTGTATGTTTTAGGATGTGATCTCTTGTTTGAGGATATACTGCTTTGGGTAGGCACTGATACGTGTGTGTTGTATTTATAAGGGTCCTGAGGAGTTTATATGTTGTGTGTATGTCTGCCTGTGAGTTATGTGTTTCTCCACATATCATGTACACACATGTTCAGGCTGTGTGGCTAAACAGACAATCCCAGGCTTCATGCAGACCCACCGAATGTCCAGTGTAGAGCCTAAGAATCTGTATTCTATTAAGCTCCCTGGGAAGTTGTCATGAGGACTGTTGGCTCTGAGGACTGTTGACTGTGGAGATGGCTTGACTCGTCCTCAGGTTCCTGTGTCCTTAGCTCTTTTCTCTGGACCAGAACTGAAAGGGAATGACAAGGACACCTGACCGTAGGAACCTCACAGAGCAACCCTGGCCTTCCAGCAGGCTCACTGACTTACTGTGCGATCTTAGGCCAATTCCTTGCCCTCTCTGAGCTTCATTTCCTGACAATTTCAGAGGCCCTTCTGGTTCTGGCTGTCTGGACTTTGAGGCAAACTAGGACTACACATGTCTGCTGTCAGGAAATCTTTGCCTTGATGGAAGCAGCTTTTGAGGCAAGCTTAGAAGGGTCCAGGATGTCGATAGAATAAAGTGGGGCAGGGTATTCTAGGCAGAGAGGACAGCCTGGTAAGAGACTCAAATTCAAAAATATGAGTTCAGAGGTGATGTGTAGCTTTTAGTGACTGGACCATCACGTGAGGTCCATAGGGCTGATAGTATAGGAGCCTGTGGCTCTGAGAAAGATGGTGTGCCCCTGGTGGTGAATGGTAGCAACAGCAGGGAAAGAGGAAGGAGGCGCTGAACAGAGAAGG